CTTCCAGCCAAGTTCTGGGCTGCCGTGCCATCATCCTCACAATTATTACTGTTCCTGTTCCTTCAAAGGGTGGCTTTCCTTCATTGTAAAAACAAGTATGGATGACAGAAGAGATTTTTCCCCCCTGGGGCTTACGTGCTATTCTGCTCCCCCTTTGAACAACTGGATGAAGCACTGGAAGGGAAGAGTACAGCAGTGACGATCCCTGAGCAGTTTTATGGCTAGGTGGAAGTGCCTTTGGACTGACTCAAAGCATAAAAAAAAGAGAGGTCCTGGCTGTGTTGATCAAATTAATCTGATCAGCAAGTTAATCAAAATGTTATTATTATGATCAAAGACACTTGCAGGCTATTTTCTCAACAGGGTTATATCTTCAAATGTTCCCAGTGAAAAGAAGCGGAAGCCACCAAATGATTGCTCTTGTGGGAGGAAAAAAAAATGCAACGAATTCAGTGGGATTTTGTCAGGCACAAAATCCTAAATCACAGGTGGGTGACTTTGGGCCAGTCGCTCTCCCTCAGCTCTAGGAAAGAGGCAAGGGCAAACCACTTCCAGACAGGAATGCAAAACAAAGCTCAAAACTCAACCCAGTTACTGTACTTAATTAAGAAAAAGGTTATTGTTTGGTTCTGTTTCCTTCTTCTAACCAGCGTAAAAAAGCTCCTCAAGCAGACATCTCCTTAGCTGACGAGTTCCCGTTTGAAGACCAGGCGTGCTGTTTGCAAATAGGAGCGGGGCAGGGCGAAGGGCCTTCCAGAGAGGGCAAAATTATGCTAATCAGGGTGGCGTCCCCAAGCGCCCCTTCTGGCGGTTGCTGCTGCCGTCGCCTTCACCCTCAAGCGGAGAACAGAAGTTCTGGAAGAGGAAGGGAAAGCGAGGCAGGCAGCGGGTCCGCCCCTCGCCTCCCCCCGCCCAGCAGCCGGACGGGCTCCCCGGCGCGGAGACCTTCTCTAGTCGTGGGAAAGGGGAATCAAGCGCGCTCCTCCTCCTCTCCTCCTCCTCCTCCCAGGCTCGGAGCAGCCGTTCCTGAAGCTTCCCGCCGCGACGCCCAGATGGAGCCGCGCTCCGGGCGTTTCAGGGCGCTTCTTCGCGCGTTGCTTCTGCACGGTGAGTTGCAGAGGTCGTGGGCTTTCGGGCAGGCGGGATTCCTGCTCCGAGCGGTCTGGGGCGTGGGGTGATGAGCACGAAGAGCCGGAGGGCCGATTCCCCGGGGAGCAGGTGAAGGAGCCTCAGGGAAGGCACCTTCCACTTGGTCCACGTCGGTTCGATTCCTCTTTTGCAGGACTCTTCTGGCGCGGCGCGGCGGCGCAACTGTCCCCGGTTTCGGTTTCCTGGCAGTCAAGGTAAGAAATGTGGGGCCGTGCGTGTTCGGGTCTCAGCCGTTTCGCCGAAATTGTCCCGCCGTCTCTGGACCAGAAGGCAACTTTCTTTGCCCTTTTTGCAAGTTGTATTGCAAGAGGGCAGTTCCGTGGAGGGAAGAGTGTCTGGCATCCTCGCCGCCCTTGTGATGGGTAAAGTGATACCTGGTGAAATTCTGAGTGCTCAGGACTGGCCTGGTCCCTCCTGTGTATGTGCTGCGGTTGTCCCAGGAATGTGGTCCTGATTTGGAAAGTGATGCTGAAAAAGTTTATCAAGTTTTGCCACGACTCTTGTTAAGACTTTCTACAGGTGTTAGGCTATGGCTCCAATAATTCTCTGCCTATGCTAGGAATTATGAAAGTTGAAGCCCAAAACATCCTGAGAATACCAGTCAGGGAACAATATTTTGTGTTGTACTCAAATTTTTAGAGATGTGTTTAAGGTAAAAGAAGGGCAACAGTCAAAATCTGTACACAGGGAAGCTATGAACCCATTACAGAAAATCAGTAAAACGTGTTCTGCAACCTTTGAAGTCCAACTGTGAATATGATTTAATGTGGACCATGGTGCACTTTTCCTGCAATTTTGAGGAAGAAAGTCCCATTGAATTTTTCATGACTAAGCAAAGATGTATTCTGATTCATGTTGGGTGAATCAATTAGTTTCCTTATGTAGCAAACTAATTACATAACTAATGATTTAGCATTACATAAACTTTGTCACAGATTGAACATTTATTTCTAAAGAAATGTGCTCTGATCTATGAAATAAAAAATAGTGTTTAAGAGTCACAAGGTTTTAGATATCTAGTAATTGTAGTCTAATAATATATGATAATTATATGTATATGTATTTTGCAGGCTAAGAAAGGGAATTTAAAATAACTATTTCATATTTTAACATCCTGTAGAATTTTATAGATGAGCCATAGAGCTTGAATTTTTTTTGATGTGCTAAATATTGAAAAGTATGGAATGCTTTGGAAAATATATGAAAATGTAAGAAAATTGATATAAATATAGTAAAATGAAAGTATTTTTCTATTTTTCAAGTAATTTGGGTAGAAGGATTTTTTTTTATTCCCAAGAAATGATTTGGTGGTTGGAATATGTGGTATTCAATCTGCCCGGAAAAATTTCACATAAACACATCATTTCTACCAATAAAATTTAAACTATTAAAATATTCAACACCAATTAATGCCTCCCAATTTAAGAAGCGAAGAATGTTCTTGCTTCCTTTAAAAGTAAGTTAAAGTGTCTTAGGTTATATAAAGGAAAAATAGAATTACTAAAAAGACACTGAAAAAAAATAAAGAAAGGAATTCGTTATTGCTGACTGAGCAGTAGCAATCAAAGCTGTCAAAGACAGGGCTTTATTTTCTGCAGCATCAAGAATTAAGGGGCACCCCTTAAATTCCATTTTTTTTGTCTGCTGATTCAGTCAGGAGGCCTCAAATTGAGTGGAGGTGCAGTTTTCCTAAGTTCTGCATGAGTAAGAAAGGTGCAGATTACCTCTGCTCAACAAATCCAGCCTTGTTCTTTTCTTCCTTAGGAATGACAGCAGCGCGGTTCCTCAGAAACGAGATCCTAGTGTCCTCAACAATCAGGTAAGGCACCAACTCTGCAGCTGTTTTTAGACTTTTAAAAGTTGGAGTGATAGAACAAACAATTCCCAGACTAGCATATCCTGTATGTAAGTTTATAATCCTATGATTATTTTCCTTCCGTCTTTTGACACTGAGTTTTTAAACTCCTGATCTGAATACCTTTACTATTTTCATTTTTGGCAGGATTGAGGAAAAAACTTGAGCTATAGATAGGTTTGCAATTCAAAAAGAGTTTACTTTCATCAACAGACATATTTGCTAGCAAATGCCTTGACCTCTGTTCTTTTATTGGAATGGTATGATGAACAGTCGGATCATTTATGCATTTAGCATTAAGCAAAGTGCTTCCCCTTTTATATTTTGAATGGAAGAAATGTATTAACATGTATGAATGTGTCATACAACTGATTTAACAGATTCAAGAGAAAACAAATATGTCACTTTAGAAGCAATTATTACTACATACATTTAATAACACATCATACTTAAAATGTATTTTTTCCAAAAAAATAATTAATAAAAAAATAATAAAAAGATTACACAGCACAAGGAGATATGAATTTTGGGTCCATTTTATAAATTTACAATTATAAAAATGAATTAGATTCTATAAACTTCATTTTATTAGATTTAGAACAAAATGTATAATGTGAATGGCATTGAAGGGATTTTATTATGCTTACGGTTGATATTAGTAATATTGATATTAATAGCGATACTTTGTAATCATTGTATATACTATATATCCTTGTTTATGTGCAAGAAGCTTTGTAGGTGCTTTATATTGGGAAATTAGTTATATAGAAGCAAATGTTTCATGTTTTAGGTACAGGTGATTGCTTACATGAAAAGAGCATGGTAAGGAGAGGGGGAAAATTAGTTACGGATGGAGCCTGGGTTGCTGTGTATGAGTCATCATCTTGGAATTATTTTTCTGTACCTTTTCAGACCTGATCTCTTTGTTCTGGAAAGGTATAAAAGGTGGAAGACATCTTTCCAGGTTGTTGCCTTCATCTCTCCAACAGCCACGAAGAGAGATGGGGTCAGCCAAGTCTATTTTGATCAAAATAAAAGTTGTAATTCTTTGCTGAAACCTCAGCTCAGTAGTTTCTTTGGCTCTTTTAAATTCCTGAGTAACGCTGGGGCAATTGTGAGGCTAAGTGGGAAACCTTACAACCTGGTGCCCACATGATAATTATTCTTTCAATCAAATTCACAATAATTCAAAGCATATGGCCTTAGGTGCTTTTCTTGCTCTGCCAGATTTTGATTATTACATTTTAAAACGGAGTAAAATGTCATCAGTTTTATTTCAAGCAACCAAGCAAGCAAGAATAAGAAAATAAACATCAGGATAGGTTATTGGAAATGATTACTGTATTATCATTTAACGGTTTGTCTAAAAATAATCACTAAAATATATTTCCTGTTTTTAATTGAGAGAAGGCTTGTTTGACATTTAGGCCTCATTCAGAAGTTTGGGAGTGGTATTTGACAAAAGTCAATACGTATCTTGCTTTCTTTCCATTAATTCCCAAGTTAACAAATACTTATTAAACCATATTCCTAATAGTTTGACTACATTTAATACAAGTGCATTTATTATTTAACATACAGTATTTCTACATTGCTTCCCCTTCAATTGAATCTTGTAGCTACAATAAGGATTAAAACATTGCTTTAATTTATTGTACTTTATCAATGTAAATATGTTCATTAAAAGTGGGAAGAAAAAAGAATACGAAACAAAACTATTCATCCATACCATTTGCACAAAAACCCCTATTCTTTTTATTTTGTACAGCCTATTTAACTCCTCTAAATTCAGATTCTGTCTTTTGTTTTTCTCCAATTTTTGTTACTGAAAACTTCAGCAGACAGAAAAAAATTATACAAAATACACACAGGAAATTAAATCAACTGGCAGGAAAACTGTGTTTTTGTTAAAAGAGTCCAAGAACTGGAAACAGCCTCTTTTATTGCCTTATCTTCAGGCCATTGATCTTAATTAAGTTGCTCAGAGTACGTGTAAAATATTTGGCAGGTATAAAAGAAAGTACTGAATATTATTAAAGCCACGTTACTGGAAAAAGATGTTACAATGGATATACAAATGAAATTTACTCATGTCTTAATAATTAAAAGGAATATAAAATAGGGTGACATGGATAATTTTGTGACTTTGGACTTACAAACGAGGCTTGTTAAACTTGAGGGATTTCTGAGAAGAGACAAAGAGAAAATGAAAATAAATTCTGGGATACCATTTAGAGGGATTAAAGATCAAGAATGTTAAAATCTAAGGGAAGGAATATAAAGCTGTGGATTTGATCAAGATTAAAATACATATAGTATGCTGTTTCTGGTAACCCTTAATGCAGTTTGCTGACCAGGACCAAATAATGAGGCTTTAAAGATTTGGGAAAAGAGATTTTTGTTGTATTTTTAGAGAAACGTATAAGTTAGTGTGTTAAACTAAAGGGAAGGAATATTTGTTTATTTGATTAAGGCTAAAATATATATGTTCTTTTCTGATAACTCTTAATGGACTTTTGTTGACTAGGATAGGTTGACAAGACTTTAAGAATTTGTTTATAGATAGAATATGACATATGAGAGGAAGAGATGTTTTATTGTATTCTTAGAGAAGGTGATAAGTTGTTGAAATTGTTTGTATTTGTGATGAAGAGGGAAATCATCAGACTAGAATTTCTATTGCTAAGCTGTGACTATTAAGTGAGTTGTGTCCAATTTTGCAACTATTTTTGCCATAGTCATTAAGCAAATCACCATGGTTGTTAAGTGAATCACATAGTCATTAAGCAAATCCACTTTTCCCCAATGACTTTGCTTGTTGAAGCTCTCTGGGAAGGTCGTAAAGGCAATTAAGTGACCCTAGAATGCTGCCATCGTCATAAATAAATGCTGGTTGCCAAGTACCTGAATTTTGATCAACATGACCATAGGGATAAACACAACAGTCATAAGTGCAAGGACCAATCATCAGTTACTTTTTTCAGTGCTGCCCTAACTGCAAAAGGTCAATAAACACATGGTTACAAGTTGAGGACTACAGTGTACTTCGGTACTTGATTGCTTTGAAACATCAAATTGCGTATTTGACGCATTTTTATGTGAAAATTTTGTCCCGATATTTGCTGTTTGTTTGGTACTTGACAAGCAAGCTAGAACTTGTCGGTGTTGTGACTAATATATTATTCCTTATGGGAAAAATTTGTTTGGAACCAATTAACAACTGTACTTGTATTAGTCTTTTATCTTTATAACTGCAAACATTAATAAAATTATACATACGTGTGTGTGTGTGTGTGTGTGTATACACGGTGATGCGCTCGATGAGCAGAGCACTGAAACAGCTGGCTTTATAAGCAGGCTTTCAAACCTCTGGTTTTCTACTCTGATGACGTCGGCAGGGGACCGACGAAAGCTTAGCTAATAAATAGTTGTTTTTTACATTTATCCTGGAGGTCGTTGTTTTTCTACTGTTTTT